TTGAAGGTCATTTTCGTCCCAGCACTCTCAATAGTTTCACTACATACTCTATATTTTTGGTTGCATGACTGGCATTTTTGCTCTTTCTAGATCTAGTATTTGGGATTGGAAAAGGGCATATTATAGTATTTATATAATAAATCTATTTTGCATTAACATTGCAGTTTTTTTAACCACCATATAATTTAGACTGTTTCCAAGTTAAAAGCACATATTATACCTAGTAAGCACATATTATGTAGTTTGAAAACCTAAACAATCTTTGATTAAGTATCATCTGATTTTAAAGCATTTTAAACAACAGGATTTTGAATAATACTAAGTATGAAATAAATTACATAATATTACCACATCAATAGATATCTATTCCTTTTAACTGTATCACAGACTGGTGACTCAGCATCAAATATATTCAGGGATTTCTAAGGCCAATAAAATATCTGCCATAATATTATCAGGGAATGCCACTATTATTATTAACTGGACACAAAAACAAAATTAGAATCTGAAATTTTGAAATCATACTGTTTTGCATGATTTTAATTATTGAGAGAGATTGTTTTGTAGTCAAAACAATGCATAAAAATATTTGGGAACAGCCCAATCATTAAGAAACATGTTCTTGATCATTTTAGCTATAATGTATGTGGAGGCAATGTTATGTGGTTTTCTTACTTATGAAATTACTACTACCATTTTATAAAACTACTAATAATTATTAAAAATATAATAATTAGTTAGGTAGTTTTTAATAAATAGTTGTTGCTTAATCAAATCTTTATTGTTGATTTATTTTCCGTAAGTAAAAGGTACAAAAGAAAAAATAACATGCTGGAGTACTGTTAACCGACTTTTATGACATGGATTTCATAGAATTCAAAGAAGTATGTAAAGATTTTAGTTAACTATACCATATAGTTTCTGCCTCCATAGAACAACCTAATGATTAAAAGTATGAAAGCCAGAATAATAAATAATGAATCAAAAGTAATTGAAAGTAAACACTGTAAACCATGCCTAATTCCGGACTTTGTGCATATTTAGTAATCAATTGTATATTGTTGATGTATTTTATATAAAATGCGCTCTTTGTAACATTCATAACAGAGATGACCTTGACAAAATAAAATTATTGTTTTGGCCTCCATTTTCATGATAAATAGAAATTATTTATCTTTTTCATCATCATTCATTGAAAGATATGCAGTATTAACAAAGGTATGCTTTAAAAAACACCACAACTGGTAAGCAGTTTAGAGACGGAAGTGTAATAACTGAAAAGTCATACAGTCAAATTGAGAACCTCTTCCTTTGGGAAGTCGGTTGTAAATTAAATGATGATGCTCCTTATATTTAAGACGCAGTTTTATCATATAATAATAATCTATATTCATATTTACATTTGCTTTTCACTTATTAAAAATAATAAATAGTTACCTCAGAATTAGAAAACATGTTTAGATGGGGAACTCCAGTCAACACTTTTGAATATTATGTTAACTCGTCGAGTACCGGTTTTGTAGACACAATTATAGAACAATAGGTTGCGGTCACCGGTGACCGCTTGGTCTTTGACAGTTTAAATTCAAAGAAAATATTGAAATATAATTAGCACCGTGATTATGCTTGCATGTCAACAGATTTTTTTTATAACCCGAGGAATCCTCTATAGTGGTCTGGCTCGCAGGGAGAAACACTAGTGAATGTGGTATATTTACCTCACCCAAACTATTTTATTGGTGCCTTTGCTTACCTGTGCCACAGACATAACAAAGGACTTTTTCTCTCCGTTGCATTTATTTTGAATTGATTAAAATGTATTTCCAAAGAATAATAAATAACAACAATAGTGTTAGAATTCATTTTTTAAGGCCTTGACTTTGTTTAGATAAGTTTTTATCTAAATGTCATCTTTCATTTTACTTATATTGAATTCATATTAACATGTTTTTCATTTAACATAATTATTATTATGAAATATTAACAAGCCTGATCATGTTTCTGAAATTGAGTAGACAATATGTTTGAATTACTTTATTTTAGAGTTTTAAAAGAAAATGTAGTATTTAAATGAGAGCAAAGATAAAGGTAAAACAGTTTGTGTTATTTAAAAAAAAAAAACAAAAAAAAAACAACACATGGTACTGTATTTTGGGTTTCACTTTTGTTGACTCAGCAATATTTTAATACCATGCATAATGATTTCAATGATATGACTGTCTAATCATCTACAGGTATATAGCAATCAATCAACAAATTAATATTAAAAAGGGGATAAAAATATCATAGACAAGTTTTAGGAGTAACCAGAATAACAAAGTCTTGGCACAGTCTGAATTATTACATTACCTATAGTTGGCAAAAGCACCAAAATACAGTAAAAAACCTTACATAACTGATAACATGGTTTTATAATGCTCTTTTTATGACTATTTTACTTTCCACCATGATAAAGTAAATGCATGTATTGAGCAATTCTAAAAATCCATCATATTGCATTCAAATCTTATAAATACGTATTTATCATATCAGTATTACGAAGAAAGCCTAGATACGAGTTAATAAAGGCGTTTTCATCATCCAAACACAAGAATTCATCGATCTCGATGCGTTAACACCGCATTGTAGCAGTGTGCTAGACATAGGCACAGTGCAGTACTTCAAGACGTATTCTAACACTATACCTAGAACCTTCCAAGAAAATCAATACAGCCACACCCAGCTTGAATAATTAACACCCCGGGAACATGATCAAATTAGGTATCTAACAAAGAAACATTGAAATAATAACACATGTGAGATCGACATCACCTTATGACAGTTTTTTTTGGTTAGAAAAATTGAAAACAAAGAAAAAAAAAGGAAAAAGTCCTGTTTTTGTGACCATCGTTTAGATCAGCGTTACAATCGTCAATTAATCCCAGTAAATTTGAAGGCATTTAAATGAAAAATAAGAAAAACACATTTTTCAGCAAAGTAAAGTTTGTAAAAAGTATCAAAACAAAAAACTATCATTACCATTTTTTTAGACGAATATGACGATTTGAAGCACTCCAATAACTCTGTTATAAACGTATATAATTCACAGTAATAATAAAACACTTCTATTACACACACTTATGAAATTTTAGCGAGACACTTCTTATTTCACGATCTTCACGATACTAAAAAATGCAGACGTCCGAACGGCGGTCATTGCTTCCGCCATATTAAAAAAAGGGCAGAGAGTAAAGAATTGTGTGCTCGGATACAGTCAACAAACACGCTAGATTTGACAATGACAGTTAACAAATTCTTAAAATAGCACGAATCAGTTTTGTATTTCTAGATATTATTATACTAATAATTTTGTAACTTCTGATTATATTAAAATAACTGTAATTTTTTTATGGTTTTCTTCAACTAGTTCAAATAAATAATAATAAAGCAATATTGACACACTCTACTCTTGAATAATATCCAAACGTAGCAAAACTCAAATTCAGCGTGGCACAGACAACATAGAAATTAATAAGTTATTAAAATTCCGCGCTTTGGTTTTTTTTCCATACGTAATGCATCAATTTTCTGTATTTAATAATTAATAATCATAATCTTACTCACACGGCGAAACACAACTCAAGTAGGATATATTGGGATAAATAAGGTCTCCCGTTCTTCAGCGCCATCTGAGTACATTATAGCTATGGTCGTCGAGGCAAAGTTTTTTAGGCCCCTTAAATGTATATCTTATATTTCCAGAAACTACATGTAGTTCTGAACTCAACTCAACCTTACTTGAAAATATTTTTTGTACCTAGTAAAAAAATAGGATTGGAAAAATAAAATAAATCTGGGTATATTCTGGACTATCAGTTCAAATGACTTTTAAATACTTACTTTTATATACTCTTCTTGTCTGGACGACATTTTATTTTTCCGAGGTCTATAGTCGTAGATCGTTTATTCACGTATTTTCAGCTTGGTTTGGGTGCGAAAATAAACACACATTTATGGCCGAGCAAAATTGCATGTATTTATTTAACTATGTATCACTAATAGACGAATAATTCATATCATTGTTATAATCACATTTCCTTCTACTAAGCACCAACATCAAGCGGACAGTTTATCTTTAAAATAATCAATGAACAACTATCACACTTAACACTACTGAGAGCTTCCTTTCTTGTAACAAATCCTTGAAAATTGAATTCCCCCAGAGTGCAATTATAGCGCTGAATCGACTGCAATGTCAATCTATTATAATATTGATCAATCAATTGATTGACTAATTTTACATCAATAATATAACTGGTATAATAAATTCAGAGCGTAATATAACAGCGGATATTTACACAAATAGAATTGACACGTCACTTAAATTTATACACGTTATACCATGAGATACACTGCTTCAAAACTAAAACAAATTAGGGAGTCATTAAACAAAAATTCTTAATTACTTGTTTGCCTAATTATATGATAAGCAACACATTTATCTAAATGAATGCATCCGAGATTCCGCTCAATCGATCTTTAGGCACATGCATTAGTCATAACCGTAAAATTTTGGTGAAAATTATTCTTGTAAACATTAATAATTACTTGTAATTTATTACTTTCCCTTAGCTAACTGGGTTGTAAACATCAAGTACAGTTATAACAGATTTAAACACATTTAACTATAATAACATTTATGATTCTGACTATTTATTAGTGCAAATTTAATGTCAATCAATCAACTTTTTGATTGATTAATCTATCAATCAAGAAGTAGATGATTATATGCATTGAATTTTATACATAAAGTAATCAATCTATTGGTGCAATTTATTAATCATTTATCTATTTTTTATGTAAGTGCAATATGATTTTTTACATTCAGAAAACCTTAGTTGCTAATTGCATGTAATTTGTAACTAACCTATTATTCAATTTGTAAACATTGACAATTAAAAATAAACAAATCCTTAAATGTTAATTTATATTGATCATTTTATAACTTTTGTTATCCTAAAGTAATGATACAATACATTTTAAAATAGAAAATTGAAAAATAATAACATAAAGTTTATTTAAAGGTATTTTTATTGTTCGCCTCTTTTGAATAGAATGGTCTGAACATTTAAAAATTGTGACAAAAAGGAACTTTAGAATGCAATGAAAATATGTATGTTGTTGTTCCCCTATATAACATAAAATGTGTCAATAATAAAATTAAGACCATCTTTGACATATTTAGGTTTAGGTTATCAATCAGGCAATCGAACAGTTGTGTCTGGCTATTCATCAATCAATGAATAGAATTTAAATTTTTACATGACAAATATTCTCTATAAAACAATATTTGATTCATATTTATATTTTCAATTTAAAAATTGATAATCTATAGAAAATCATTTCAATGAACACATTGATTTTAAAAGTGGTTTCCATACATGCCTGGCATGGGCATATTGAGTGGTCCCATGGGGTATGGCACGCTTGGGGGTCCTTGTTGCCCATAGCTTGGGTAGGGTAAGTATGGCTTTGCGAACCCATTACCAAAGGAGCTCTGACTGCCAGATCGGAGTAGCTCAGCCATTTTCTCAGCTTTGAATTTCCGTAAATGCATGTTTTTGCGGGCTGGTTCAAAGTCTTCAAGGAACTTTTCCACTGGTATCTTTCCTGATAGAAAGTCTTGTGCAAGGTTCTCGGATTGTTCCTCAGATTCTGCTGCTGCTGTCTGTAGGAGTGCTTGAGTTGTATCCGGAGATATGCCAGCTGATTTCGTTTCTGATGAAATAAAAAAAGAGAATGGCAACTATGAAAAGTTTTTGTTTGAATGAAAATTATTATGTATGTAGAAGACTGCACTGTTGGAGGTGGCTAGGCAACTGGCTTCCACACAATGTGCAGCAGGTTTGATTCCTGCACGGAGTAACTCATTGTGTGATTCACAAATTGTCATTTTGTATATGGGTGTGATGTGTATGTGAATTTGTATATTAGTAAACACACACACGACACGGGAGAAAACCCAAGTGTGGGGCGACAATTTAAAAAAAAGTTAATTATAAGTTGTACACAATAATGTCATGTGCTAAATTAATTGCCTCTATTTATCCAGTAATTAAAGTGTCATTTTATGTAGAAATTGATGATAAGAGTGCTTAACAATACTCACTATATTCTTCCAATAACTCTTGGATCCTGGTGCACAATTGCTCCCCCATTTCAGATTTTTCCAAAACCGCTGCCTTCGTTTCCTCTAGTTCTGGCTCTTTGCTCAAATTAAACTCAGCTAAGGATCTATTGCTTGCTATAGTCATCTCTCTCTCTGTTTCCCAATCTTTCACCTGTAAGACAAACATAATTATTATAGTAGGGGAGCCCATGAAGGGATTTCGGTAGTTACTCGAGCGCGTCAGATTAACATATGGGGAAAACCTAGTGTCATGTTGAATATACCCAACATATATCCGATCTGATTAGAAGGGGGGGACTGAAAATTAAAAAAAAAGTCTGACTAAATAAAGTCAGTTTCGTCAGATTAAGGGAAGGTAGGTCAATACCGTGCTAAAGGAAGTGCGTTTAAAAAATCTGCCCATTCCAACTTGATTTGCAAGAGTGGGGGGATTTTGAAGGGTTCTCGTTTGTACTCTCCAGAACATTCAACCCCACCATGCAAACTGGCAGATTAAGAGTTTTTTATTATTAAATACACATGGAGCATGTACATTATCAATATCTGACACGCTCGACCACTAGAACAAAAGTTACGCTTAACAATTTCAAAGATCTGTAGATTCCCCCTTCCCCCACTGGTGGAAGAAATTGTCACTAAACCATTTCTTCTTTCTATCAGCATATCTTCAAAATCCAGTAGGTCCCAAGGACGCTCAAGTAAATCCCAATTTAGCATCATGGGCTCCCCTACTATTTTTTATATTATAGAATGTTAATTACTTATTTTAATTTTTACAATTGTTAAAAGTATTTTAGTTATAAATATGTATTTTGGATTATAATATCACACGTAGAACTATTTTTTTTTATTTAAATCTAAATTTGTGTGAACGCCGCCCTTTGTTATTAAAATAATGACTCATACTCTGTAATTATTGTGAGAAGTCAATTTTATACATAGCCTAACGAATATACCACAACATGAAAGCTTTATCAGAATAGCAAATCTACACAGGAAATGAATACATATTAACAATTTATTTTCCTATTATTACCTGTTTTACGTCTTTTAAAACACTGTCGAATTTGGTGTCGTCATTTAACATTTCTTTTAGTTCGTCCGAGTTTAAATGAGCCAGTAAGCCTAGGGCTGAAGGGTAGTCCGGTTGGATCATCTTGATATCACAAATGTACAATCACAGAACTAATCACTGTAAATAAAATTGCGAAATATTTATAAAGGAAATAATAGCCATCAGGCAACAACAATGAATGAGAATGACAAAATTGACACTTGACAGAAGTCTAATGTCAAAAGTAAAATTTTCTTAGCTGCGTTCACTTTAGTAAGATTCTAAATAATCGAGTGCACTTTTTACTGTCATTAGCAGATTTCTGCATTAGCAACATTGTATAATTAGATGTCAAAATGACGATATCAGAGTGCAAAGAGTATAGTAATATATAGGGTAAAGAGAGCCCTCTCTGGGCAATTTAAAGCAAACCTCTTTGAACGCCAGCGACATCTGAACATTGGCCCTGGAAACTATGCCCGGCTTACAACTTGAATACTACCTACTTATTAGTTTATTAATTTGAAAGTATATTATGTTCTAGCAGCTACATTGCTACAACATAATATACTTACAAATTAACAAACTAATTTTGCCCTAATATTTAACAGATTTACTAAAAACTTAAGGAGTAATAATTAAAACAATAGGGTGGAAAAATAAAACAATGCTTAAAAATTAATTAGCAATTATTTTTTATTTTTATAGTGCTTGTGTTTTTTATAATATTCTTGCGCAGCAATCTTAAATTCGTCATCACCATTATACGACAATTTTCCCGACAAAATTCGATTAACCGATCTACACCAGCTGTATAAAATAACATTTATTGTGGTGTTCATAAAGTATTTTTTTAATTCTTCTTTATGCTTCATGCAGTTAAATGGAAAATTAACCATTACATCTGCTACTAATATAATATTCTGTTTAATTTTCTTTTCTGGTACACTTTTTTTTAAAAATGAGACTATTATTTTTTGTAGGTCATGAAAAGTATTTTCTAGTTCTTCACTAGGATAGCATAACCATTTTTTATTGTTATATTCTTTAGCTTTTATAAAAGCACTTCTATTTTCTTCCTTATCGATTAGGTTTTGCCTACACCTTTTACAAGATCTTACAATATTTTTTAGACATTTCGTCAAGACCCAGCCACAGACATAATTTCTCTGACCTGCATCAGTTTCTTTATCAGTCCTTAAAATGTCTTCATTCAGTTCTATATTATAGTTACTTTCTAAAGAGGGAACATCAGAAATATTCACTTTTTCTGTGAAGAAGAACTCAAGAGTTTGGAGACACTTGTTTGAGTCTTCTTCACAATTTGCTCTCTCTGAATGAGGTGACTTATAATTATTTAATAATAACGCTTTGTATGCGCCTTCAAACGATTTGGTGTTCGGAGAATTGTTTCTTGCACCATAACTTCTGATGTTCCCAAAAAAGTTTTCTACTGGGTCCTGATTAAAGTTTCTTGTTAAAAGGCAATCAAAACCATATCTTCGGGAAACAATATGCCAAATAGTTTCCATGCCTTCAATACTTTTAATTAAATTAGTAACAGATGGAATATTCGTTTCGATTAATCGAGTTTTGTCTCCAACGGTTTTATTGTATTTAAATTTTACAGTTTTTAAAATTTTTTTAGCTTGCCTCCATAAGTCATGATGGGGCGAGTGCCTTTTAATAGGCCCTTTGAATATTTTTCCATTAGGAATGAAAAAACTGCTAACATTCAAAGAATCAAATAAGTTGTCCAACAACAAAGTAATTTCTATTAATTGTTTACATTCGTAAGGTAAATCGCCTCTGGCTGTTAAATGTTCCGTAGCCACAGCGACGCTGTGGCTAAATAATTGCGTTGCCGATTTCACTCTCATTTTATTGATTTTTTCAGGGTTTACATGTTCTTCCGTTAATTTATCTAATAGCCTTAGTTCACCAAACGATTTGTCTGCGGCATATACTTTTTGGAAGTGTTCCCATTTAACAGTTTTTACTATGTTGTTGGACTCATACACCAAATCTTTCGTGATTAAATTATTTCTTATACCTTTTATCAAATGAGGCACATCAAATAATGGAATAATAACTTTTCCATTTATTAAAAAATGGTCATACCGCCACTCTTTTAGCTTAGTTAAATATTTTGATTTGGTCTCATTTATTAATTCCGTTACGGCGCCGACATTTACAGCGCTTTGGTCACATACCGTATTAATTATTATAAGACCCGACCTTTGAGCATGGTTTATGACGTCAATAATAATATTTTTTAGCTCTCCTTTGTTTAGACCGGTTGTAAAATAATAAGCTATAGGCTGTTTGAAGTTTTGTTTTATTCCTTTGACCATAAAAACCAAAACATGGTCAGCAATTTTTTTATATTTATTGATGGCAAGGCCTTCCAAAATATCTTGCTGAGCATTATAATTCACTTGAGGTGTCAAGGACATCTCGTCAAATATTAGTGAACACAACCGGTCATTTTCATGTTTTTCCGACATAGTTTTTTTAATTCTTTCGAACACTATAGGAACAATTCCTTGGTGTATTTTTACAGTGCTCAAAAGACGCTTCATACATTTGCTTGAAGGCAAAGTAAAGAGTTTACTTAATAGACTATATGCCTTAGGACTTTTTTTGTATAGTGACAAAGAAAGCACCTTTTCATTATGCGTAAAGCGACGTCCTTTTGGTTTCTTTGATGCCTGCAGTTGCATTTGGAGAAACAATCGGGCCGGTTTATCTAAAATCTTTGCGAAATGATCCATAGCCATTTTGCTGGATACCACTTCCGCTCCATTTAATCTTGCTTTAAAAAACTGGTTCTTCTTGCGTTGGCGTGATACTTCCGCCTGGAGAACCTTGATCTTCTTGCGCAATGGACCCATTAGATCTGTGAAAAGATAATTTATATGTGATAATTCGAACTACATAAGTAAAAAGTTAACTTTTACATTATGAGATATTGTGCAACAAACAATTTACATTTGATAAATTTGATAAAATCTACTATCTACACTATTGTTGAGAATGTGTAGTTCTTTATTGTCAGCTTTAAGTTGTTGGGAATATCTGTTGAAAACATTTTTAAGCCTACTTAAACTCACAAGAAATTTCCAGTTTTAATATCTAAAATAGGTATTAAAACGAATGATTGCCATCACACTGCCTATAGAACAAAAAATATTTTAAATAATAGCTGAACAATACCTTTCCCAACTGTTCTTCGAGGCTTGCTTAAAACACTATAATTATGTTCTAACAGCCAGTTTGATGCAGAATTCCTTTGCAGAGATGTGCCTGAAATTGCAAATTTATTACAATTAATTGTGAGAAACACACATGAAGATATTTGCACATTTATATTAAAATATTAGTGACATAAACTTTGCTCGCGGCTCAGCTTCCGTGGACCTAACATATTTCCCAGGATAAAAAGCCTGTCACTCCCTGAAAACTAAGCTTTGTAATGGTAAGAGTTTTTCAAATCGGTCCAGTAGTTTCTAAGCCTATTCAATACCAACAAACATACATACTAACAAATAAATCAATATTTCCTGTTTATAATATTTATTTGTTTTTATTCTTAAAACCATTGGCTGATGCAGCGGTAGGTGCAAAATTATAGAAGAGAGAGCATAAAGTAAATTAACAGAAGCTAAGGAAATAGTCAATAATGAGGGTAGATATAATTATTATGAGCAATAATACATAACTATGGTAGGTTTAAGAACTTTCGATAAATTATACATATATATTATGTATATATCTTAAACGCACGTATATATCATACAAATACTATACATATATGAATTCCTTCTGTAAAGGTATACTAACATTCTGCAGTTAAACTGTCAAACACCAAGCGGTCACCGGTGACCGCAACCTATTGTTCTATAATTGTGTCTACAAAACCGGTACTCGACGAGTTAATTATGTTTCCTTTGTTAATTTTGTTCATAAATTATACAAATACATAATTTGAATTTTACCTGCAATCACAGGTGGTGATCCTGATTTCGGCTGGTATTGGCTAGAAGTTAATTCTTTATCCACAACACTTTGGCTTGTTGATGGCTCTGAAAAAAGTTAACAGTTATTATTACATCATATTTACTATGCAGACAAAAACAATTATAATAGTGTTAGTAGAACAACTGAAAGAAAATGATAACTAGTGACTGCCTACAGTTACTACACATTACACTGAGTGCAGTGTAATGTGTAGTTTACAGTGTAGTGACACTACACTACTACACTGACTACACTGTTAGCAGCAATTGTATATTATACTGACTGCTGAGACTGCGACTGTTCTGCTAGCAGTTTCATAATGCGAGAGGACTTCATACTAACTACAATAAACCACGACTGCAATCATTAATAAAAATGTCTATTAAAATCTTAAATCATAACATAAATCTCTCAAATCAAAAAAAAATTAAGAAAGATAAACAAATAGATATATATCTGCATAAATTATGTTAGTATAGATTAAAGGAAAAATACTAAAAATCACCAAAGGTAAAAAAGTTAAATAGCTGGTCATAAGCAAGTCACATACCAACTCAAATCTTTATTTAATTTAAATAAAAAAAATATATTTACCTGATATGTTTTGTTGTTCTATTATAGGCTGGCTCGTAGTAGGGATTAAAGCTTGTTCCAAAATAACTGGACTCTGAGATTGTCCTTAAAAATAAAAATGATAATATTATATTATGACATACAAAAAATTTATACTTCACATAGGCCAAGAGAACAATTTCTAAGTAGGATTCTGTTTGCACTCAGATAATTAAGACGATATAAGAAAAAGAATTGAAAGGACTCACCAGGCAAATGAAGTGTTGGAATGGCCAATGCACTCAACCGTTTATTACGATTTCTGTGACTGTCACAAAAGTGTATATCACAAATTCTTTTTTTCTTGTAATATTCAAAATCAGAGGATGTTTGAAGTTTTCCACCAACAAGATTGACCCAGGCTTTAAGTCGCTCAGGAAATTTCATGGCATCTGGGAACCGATGCATTGGAACATCTGAAAGTAAGAAATGAGGTGTTGAGAAATCTATATTAACAATGTAACATTACACAATTTTAAACCAAGCATACGAATCATCAATATCAATTCTCATCTAATATAAAGCTATCTTAAAAGGTATAATAATGTTTTAATGCATAAAAATAACCGTTAACTTTAGAGGATAGAGGTAGGTGTGGTCAAATCAGTTGCAATTCAGCTATTCTAACTCGTCTTTACTGGAATACATCAAGTTACAAGTCGCATTCCATTAAGAAGTTAGGCAGTCTCATTAGGTTGTCGTGTAAAATTTCTTTAGTAGTAGAATAGTTTGTGCTTAATAGATAATTATAGGTTCTCATCCTATATCAAGTTAAATGTGAGTTTAATACACTCATTACCCTTTGGGTACTACAGAAGTGATGGTATTTTTGTAGTAAACCCATGAAGTTGACAAGTACTTAAAAATAAAGAATATTCTATATATATATCTTAACTTTGTCATCTAACAACTAGATAAGTTAAAAGGCATTATGTACTTACCACTAGGAGCACAACCTAAAGCACAACGCCTCGGCATTTTAAAATAGTTCATAAAATACACAAATCTCACAATATTCACAAAAAGTGTCTCTATCACCAAAATATGAAAAATTTTCGAAGTAAACTCACAACAGAAAGGCGGAGGAATACAAGACTCGACTCAACGCACTAACTACTGGATATTTAACAACCGAAAAAATATAAAATGGACAGAGGACTACAAACATGCGCACTCGCAAGAAGTAACCGCCATTTTGTGACATTGTTGACAACATTATGTTTACTAGTTGATTTTGACATTAAGGAAAGAGTGTTACCCGATAATGTACTCGAATTGCATTTGTTCGGAATTAATTAATCATAAAATATTTTTTCAACGCTTTAATAAGAACGATAATATCGAATTTATATAAAAATATAACTATCTTATGAAAACTATTACTTATTATTAAAGTAACCGATACTATATGCATATTTATAATTTCCATTTTAGTTTCATTTTGCCTAGCTTACGATGTTTTTTTATTACATACCACACTGAAAGAGAGTTTTAGCTGTTTTTATCCTATTGTATAAAATACCATAATACGTATTTAAATATATTTAATATTAACTTCAAAAAGGTGTTAAATATTAGTTAATAATTTTCAATAAAACAAATTGATGTAAAATATTTAATAAAAAAAAAAGTATTATTAATGATAAATTATGACGCAGCGACATCTTGAATAAAATAGAGAACTAATCTGGGAATTATTTCCGGGCCATGTGATAGATGGCATCACCATCTTTGCGAAATGTCACTTCAAGGCGTCTGTCTCCCCCCTGTCAGAGAGTACAATTTAGATTTTTCAAATTCTCATTGTAATTATGATTTATATACTAATTATTAAATAGAACACATGACAAATATCTATATTTATTGTGACGACCAATAGTTCCATTAGTTCTAGTCAGAAATGTTACTTAATGACTCGCCATATGACATAGAATTTTTCTACAATTTTTACGTGAAATTCCTTGCGGAATTGTTGTTGTATTTTAGGAATTTCGCTCTTTATATAAGCTTATGGCTGTTGGGCTATGTGTTAGTGTGTTGTGTGGTGTATCGGCGGTATGCAAGGCGGTTACCGACGAGGACTCGTGGAGCTTTAGGCGCGAAGAGAGTGTTGGTAGTGGTGGCTCACCCGGATGACGAGTGCATGTTTTTCGGGCCCACGATCTTCAGATTGTGCGAGCAGGGTGCTGACGTGCATGTGCTGTGCTTATCTAATGGTATGTGACATTACTTGACCTTTAAACTGTATTATTCCTTTCATGTTTACGAGGTAAAGGTCAAATGTTAATCAGGTGGCCATTGATAAGAATAATTTCTATGCAAGAGCACGCATTAAACAACTTTATTTTATTAAAATAAACCATCTATGTAATCATATGTCCTTATCAGCACTTTTACAAGTTTACTTTAGAACTAATCTAATTAATTTTCAGGTAACTATGAGGGCAAAGGCCGTTTAAGACGAAAAGAGTTATGGGATGCGTGCAATGAGCTGGGTGTTCCAGACGAGAACATATGTTTAATTAACGATGATAGACTGCAGGACAATCCGAAGATCAACTGGCCAGCACCAGTGTTGGCTAAGCTAATCCATCACCATTTAGAATCAATAGACATAGATACGCTTGTTACGTTTGACCGAGGAGGTGTCTCTGCACACGCCAACCACTCCGCTGTGTTCTACGCTGTTGCTTATATGTTCGTTGAGAAGTTAATACCACAAAGTAAGTAGTTAGAATATTTTCTATAATTCTAAACTATTTTAACTTTTTTGTGTCCTAGAATTTGTAAATAATTGGTACTTAAATAAAATTTTAAATTAACTCGTTGAGTACCGTCATTATAGACACAATTATAGAACAATAGGTTGAGGTCACCGGTGACCGCTTGGTGTTTGACAGTTTAACTGACATAAAATTTTGTTGTTGATACATTTTGAACACAGTAAGTTTACTAATGTCAATTTGAATTGGTCAAGTTGATACTTCAATAAATTAAAAAAAAAAACAGAATTTACTGATGTGATTGTTATTCTTTTTTTTTTATTTTGTATTCTATAATCATTACAATAACTTTTTTATATTATTCCAGGATGTACTGTGTACACATTAGATTCAGTGAATTTGTTCAGGAAATACATTGGATTTCTTGACTTACCACTTAGTTTCTTATTGTCTTCTAAAAGGTTAGTAAATTAAATTATTATTCTACATAAGTATGTAACTTTAAGAGCTATGTATTTAAGTTTACAGTGTGGTAATTTTCTCTTATAATGCAATGCCCCATATTTTATTTTTTCCTTTAACTCGTGGTCTGCGGCAACATAGATCTACACAAGACACTTATTTTCTACTAGCTTCTTCCGCGTGGTTTCACTCGCTTTGCTCGGCGCCTATTAATTGAAGCGTAATATTTAATAATAGCCTATTGCCTTCCTCGATAAATAAAGAATTTTTCAAATCGGACCAGTAGTTTTGGAGATTAGTGCACTCAAACAAAAAAAACAAACTTCAGCTTTATAACATTAGTATAGATTGTGTCTTATGTTCTGAAAGTCAAGAGGTTCTGAGGTTAATATGCTTAATGCCTATAGTACACTAAAGATGTGTTCTTTCTGCCTCATTAAATGTAATATTATTTACTCAATAAAAAGCAATACCACATAAACAACTTTCTATGCTGTAATATTATGAGACACCCTCAACATCAGCCAAAACTTTACCTTTTCTAAAATTCCAGATACTTTCTACGCTGGACGGAAAGTCGTCGCATAGTCAGAGCGATGAAGAAGCATCGTTCACAAATGGTATGGTTCCGGTATCTCTACGTGTTCTTCTCAAGATACATGATCATAAACACGTTACGGAGAATCAGTCTCGCTGACATAGAGCTTGAATTGGAAGTCGATGATTAAGTACAAAGACTAAGCGAAAATAAAACAATAAGGTATGTTCTGTTAGATAATTGTATGCGGACATAGGAAGCTAGGTTTTATAACATTTTTATAATGTTCCAATGTCTAGAGTCTAGATGATGAGTGTGGGCAATTAATTGTATTCTCTAATTGTTTTTATGGGGCCCTGGAATATGGATAACGGCCGAAATTAACCAATCTCAATCCCAAATTTGTAGATCAAAATGACGTTTTATATATTTTATTTTATTTATTTGGGTAAAATAAGAATTATCTTAAATAAAAATGAATTTCCGGTCGTTAGTCTCGCTAAAACTCGAAAAACGGTTTCACAAACGGAGGCCCAATTACCCTCCCCTTCCCCAATCTCCCCAATCCCTGAATCCCCAACGATCCTCAAACTCCTAATCCCCGAAAAGCCGGTAACGCACTTGTAACGCCTTTGGTGTTCCAGGTGTCCATGGGCGACGCCGATCGTTTTCCATCAGGTGATCCCTCTGCTCGTTTACCGGCTTATGCCATAAAAAAAAACAGAATTGGCAAACTTGTTTGTGTGTGGAAGTATTTGTTAGTAGTTTATGTTCGTGGAAGTCCAAGGAAGGTTTAAAAGGTGAGAAAGAAAGAGTTAGGAGGTACGAAGTTTGCTGGAGTTAGCTAGTACATTATAATAATACATTTTTGATATCAATTGTCTGTCCGTTGAAATTAAAAATCGATCCAGAGTTTTTGGATAGCCTAAAGTCGGTTATTCATTTCGGCGGTTGATTGAGAAGAATGTGAATTTCGGCGGTTGACAGACAGGCGTCAGTTTATGTATGTATGTATGCAGTTTTTATTGACTAGAGTAATACAATAAAGTTTTGGACACAACCGTGAGCAAAAAATTACGGCAATTAGAGGGAAAACAAATTTGATCAAAACTGATTGTTCTAGATACTAAAGTTATTTTCAAAGAGATTATTGACTAGTGAGCTTACAAATTCACTTTTATCCCAGTAGTCTTAGAGTATGCTTTTGCATGCACATTCCGTAACTTCCATAATAATTATTGAAGTTATTAATGAGGCCGAATGAGAAACAATTGATCAATTTTAAATTTAATTTTTTCAGTATGTATCAATTTATTAAAAATTGCAACCTGAGACTTTCTAAAGACAATAGCTTATAGCTATCACAGTTTCTAAATGAAGTGTTCTGTATAGTGTGTAGAGTTAACTGACAAGTTTAGAGTAAATAATTTGTTGTAGAGACTGGACATGTAATGGAAGAGGAGGGAAAGAATGCTTTAGATAATTGAGATCTCCAAATCTTTTCATAAAATGAAAAAAAAAGTTTATCTTTTGTGAAACTATAATTCTGTTTTGTCAAGCCACATGTGCGGGCTGGCCGCGCCAGGCCCGACATTTAAAACTACAAAATACGGTCGTTTTCTATCATACGTTTTCAACTTTATTCTTTTGTAACAAGGTTGATAATCTAACAAAATTTCTGACTTAGCGACCATGTACAGAAAGAAATATTTTTAATCAGGAATCTGAACAATTCAGTTCATGTATGCATTGCAGAGCCATTCATCACGTGACCTATTTAAATATGTTATAGGTACCTACTTCAGAACAAAATGAAAAATGTGGACCGAGCACGCACAGTCGCGGGTAGCCGTTGAGGTTTTTATTAATTATTTATTACTAGCTGACCGGGCAAACTTCGTAATGCCTATAATTTTTTTCACACCTTTTAAACCTTCCTTGGAACCTCCCTCTTCTTCCACGAATACTTCAAGACCAAAATTGGCCAAATCGGTTCAGCCCTTTTCGAGTTTTAGCGAGACTAACGAACGGGAATTCATTTTTATTTATATAGATTTTTAATAGTAATGTTTGACTTGGCGAAGACTCATTGTATTCATGGGATCATAATATTGGTCTCGATAAAAGCTCCTAAAATGAGATTGAGTCAAATTATTATGTAAAATGTAACGCGAGTCTCAACAATGATTACGACAGGCATTGGTCGCTAAGTCAGATTCTTTTTATATGAATTTTCAATAGTCGCCGCGTCACGGGTGGCGGAATGCTGCTCATGAATGTGATAATGAGTTTTTGTCGTCATCATTGTCGAGAGTACCAGCACAGAGATCGGAATAAGGACTGCTGTTTATTTACTTACCAGACGACGGCAATAATGCAGTGAAAGTTCCATTTGTCCATTGACTGCTAAAGTCAAGAATTAAGGCCGTGCACTGCGTTAGGCGGGCGCCCGCGTTTCGTGCTGTTTCATGCAATTCCATAGATCAGCGCTGCATACAGCGGGTCGCCCGTCGCACGTGATCTATGAGATGCCTGCGCCGTTCGCACGCCTGACGTGTATGTGCCGCCGGTGTAGTGCAGTTTCCTAAAGTATGGGTCGTTAGCAAATTTTTATTATTATCAAATTAGGTCAGGTCTATAGAAAACACACTAACCAATCATTGTGTATTTTACTTCTCATATCATGGTCACGGTTTAATTTCCTCAAAGCCAGTTCTGAGTTTGGTAACTTGATTTAGATAGATCGTAGCCCAAACAACTTCGAGAACCACTGGTCTAGTGGTTTGACACCTCTATTGCACTGACTGGACATCCCGCTTCACTAGTGACATCTAGTGAGCAATAGAATAAATAGTCTTTATTGTCCGCTAGTCTGTTATTTAGTATAGGTATTATTATATAAGGTGAACCTTGCTGTTGACGCTTCTGAGATGAATTTATTTAAACTAATTATCTATGTATATATGTATTACTTATGTAAGTAATGTAATAGTGGTTGTTAACTTAGTATGTGTTCATGGTTTCGTGTATATATATACAAATAGTATAAATATGACAAGAAAGAAAAGATATATGAAATATATAGAAACAAGTAAGAAACCTGACTGCCTCGTTGGCTGAGTGGTCGCAAGTGCGACTGCTGGGCAAATGGTATCAGGTTTTGTTCCCGGTTGGGCAAAATATAACTGGGTTTTTATAAAAAAAATCTCAGTAGTAGCATAGAGTCTGGAATTGTGCCCGGTATATGACAATAGGCTCACCCCCTATTACATGGGACTCATAACAGAAGTGGGTGTTACGTTGTAAAGTGGCGTTAAGTGCAGTAATGTGCACCTACCCCTACCCTACCCCTTCAGAGATAAAAGGCGTGATGTTATGTTATATTAAGAAAGAAAGCTAGGAGTGCAGCAAGAGGTCTCAGAATCAAGTCTCGGCTAAATGAAAGACCTCTAAACACATGTTAAGTTAGCAATCATACTACAGTTCATCATCATACACAACTGTCATAAGCAGAGGTGTAATGTTTTTAAATATTTTAATATTTTGTAAGTTTTATATAAATTTCAACTGCGCAGCTATGTGTTAGCGTGGATATTATGTATGTATGTATATCAAAAGTATTTCAACCCTGTGATATTAAGTTCTTTTGTTCAAAAATTGGCTTTTTTATAAATTTCATATTTATTTTTGAGTTGAAATAAATGATAAATTTGATCAATTTGTAGTTTTTTTTCTCAGTATTTGTTTGGGGTTTATTGTGCCAGTGTATGGTGATGAGTGTTGACGTATGGTACCGAGACGTGGTTTGACCTCTGGCCTTCTGGAGAATCTCAAAGTCGCTCAGCGTGAGATGGGGAGAGCCATGCTCCGAGTTTCTTTGCGCGACAAAATCCAATATATCAGGTGGCGAGTTGTCGTTCGACGTGAAGGACTAAGGGGGAGGCCTTTGTCCAGCAGTGGACGTCTTCAGACTGTTGATGATGATGATGATGATTATGATGTGTATGGTATTAGGCTAGCCCTTATTGCACGTGACTCATAAACATAACTGTTAATGATAATTTTTACATAGTTTATGTAGACTTCTGCTTATCACTTCGGGGATTAGAAGGCTCGACAGTGTTTTCTTGATGTTGAGAAATTAGAAATTGTTTGTTCACTCCAAAATAATTACATAAACTCTAGAGTAAATAGAAGCAGTGTAATCGAACTACTTCAATCCTGTTTGTATTTCTAATAGTGAGCTGGACAATTATGGTATTTGTGTAATAAAGATTATGTTGTTTGCTAGATGCAAGTATCGACCATTATCCAGTATTGTGATCTAAACACTACAAGTAAAACAGAAACAAGTCACAACCGATTAAATTATTTTATTTGTGTTGGCCTCAAAATATTCATAGTACATTTTACAACAAATGTTATTTCATTACATAATACTTATCAATGCAAGAACTTTCAAACTTTAAATAGCTAAACATTTAAAAATTGACAATTTTAGCGACTATAGATAACTATGCATCGATGAAATTTCATAAACTACGAGTGTGGAGAGAGTTACAAGCTTAAACAATTTACAGTACATGCACCGGGACCTGCGAGGTAAAATAAAATAAAATCATTTGTGTACTTAACTTTATTTGGTAACTGCAACAAATAAGCTTTAACAACATCCAAGCGAAGCTTCTATATTACAGGAGCTGGTCACTGGCGCCGACTGCCCGCCCGGACTCAGGACTGGAAGCACTAGGCGAGGCTACAAGCGGGTGGCCACATTACTAACGCTACAAATAAAAACGACTACTCGCAAATATATTATCACGCTGTATTTGATGTAAAACTTATTACAACATAAGTAAAAAAAAAAACTTAATTAAAAAAGGAAGTGCAGTAAGAAAGAAATCGGCCGTCCACAGCGGCCGGGCGGGCTCAGTGGCCGCCAGACAGCGCTGACTGGCTACAGGAACATCATCCAAGATCCACGAAATAATTTCAAATTGTACTGATTCAATAGTTACACGTCCACTGTTCATACGTTGCGTGAACACAAGAGAGCGAACAAAGATTAAGTAGCAAACGATAGCAACGTCACCGTCGGTACAAACTGGAATGTCACACAATTCATAAAAATACTGATTTGTTAAACAACAAAAACTTATTCATACAAAATATAATGAAAATTCACTAGCCGAGGATGTTGCAACCTGAACCCACCCCAATAAATAAGTTAACAAGGTTACCATAATATAAAATATTCCCAGACCGCACCTTAGCTTACATTCACCTTGCAACACCCTCCCTCACCACTACCGGAGGTCTGCGTTATATATATATATATATATGTATATGTAATTATACAACAATTTATAGTGTGCCGGTACTATAGCGCAGAATGAACCACTTTATAACATAAATACACAACAGACGAGCGACGAGCGCGTAACAGAACAATAAATATCTCTGGCCGCTGTTACACCGGTCTCGTTGCAATCTAGATGACGAATTCAATTACAATATTTATATATTTCTTTTTATTAATTATTTAATTAGGTAACGACAACACTACCTGTTAACCATTGACTACATCGACTTATTAGTTATTAAATATTATCTATACCATATTATATCATTTTTTCTAATGGTAATCTATGCCCTCGCTTGAACTGAGATCGCTGGTCAATGCGTGGCGGGTAAATCTCTACTGTCATACAATTCATTGATTTATTTAATTAAGCGTTAGATAGAGTGAGTCATACAATAATACGCCGCATTGTTACAACTGCCTGCAGTTGTGGAAGTGTTACCGCGAACCAATGTACTGGGACTGTACTCATGCATGTACTGTGTTCTAACACGTTCAACTTAATATATTCCAAAATATAAAAATACAAATGCAAACTATGTTACTTCATAGAAAACAATAAAATCTCAAAAATGCTACAACTCTACGTTCTGCGGCATTGTTGACGGTAACACTGCAATCTCGCGAGCTCGGGCAGACTGGGAGCTCTGCAGCTACGACCACGCAATCAATACATTCTCGACTGAGCTACATTATACTATAATGGACAAAACATTATTGTTTTTGCGTGAAATAACCCCTTTAGTCAAACGCCTAACATTGATAATAAGTCTAATACCGAAATGAATTTATAATTCAAGTTATGTGTGTGGGTAATGTTTCCCTACTCGTTGTCGGCCCTCATGCCGCGGACCTCGCCCTGCCGACGAAGTTTCTCGAGCTCCTCCTTGGTGCGGTCCTCGATGGCGCGGATGTCCGCCATGGTCATGCCGAACCAGTCGTCGATTGAGCAGAACACTTGTCTGTAAATTAAAGATATAATTCTTTTAGTTACTATCATATTAGTATTGTTCCTTTTTTTAATTTAAAGTGCTCCTAAGCTAGGGGATATTTAACAACATTTTGGTTGAAAAGCAATCCATAATCGACACCTAAAGGTACGGATAAGAGGGGTATTGAGATGTTCCCTTACACTGAATAACTCTTAGTCAAGAGATGATTTAGTAGTTGGTGAAAGCGGCCATACAACTACTATAATTTGGAACAAAAACTTAATCTCCATAATGAATCCATTTTCATAATACATAGTAGAATAACAAATATGTGTTCCCTTACTATAATCTGTAAAAGGTAGCACAATATTAATCATTGTTAGCGATAATAGTCGTCTATGTAGCTAGCCTATCTTCATTATCATATACATAAACACAAATTATTCATATAATGTGTTGCTAAGCAAAAAAATCTGCCGCGGAGGACCTAACGGGTTGCCGGGGCTCCGGCTCGAAGGGCAGGAGTAGGAACTGGGTGGTTTTAGTCAGTAAGAGTCTGACACTCCCTCCCGCCTCACTCAGGCGGGAGAATTGATTCGATGATTAACCCCCTTAAAAAAACAGTACAAAACTTTGTTTCAATGAACCGATCCTGCCAATTCTAATTTGCTATTAGAATAGAATAGAATATAACTTTATTGTACACCATTAATAATACAGTACATACAGAAAAGGAAATGACTATTACCAAAGTCTATGCTCCTTACTTGCTTACTTATGCAAAAGGAGAATTAATAAGTTAAACAAGTTACCTAAAGCATACATATCGTCACACCTGTCTCCTATTAGTATATGCAGCACTGAGACACAATTCTGGCACACCTCTTCCACTTCATCTAGAGTCATCAATCTCATCATGCTTGCTCGTAGGTGTACTCAATAGAAATTAATGAAACACGAATTCTCTTCTAATGTAAATAGCTTCTAATATAGTAACGGTACATAATACCACTGTAGTTGATAAGGACACGTGGCCCGTAGCATTATCTCGCACATTAACACGTTATCTATTATTGAGAGATAACGGACACGCCAAACAATTAATTATTATAACACTCTGATACATATCGACTAATATTCTATTGTAGAAATATGTACGATATGTAGGTACGAAGAAAATTGATATAGTAAAAGAAAATGTTAAAAAATAATGTGTTATATATAGCCCCGAAGGGCTTCGCACAGGTGCATATTACGGCACTTAATGCCACTGTACACCCACTTTTCACTATTTATGTTATGAGTCCCATGTAATAGGGGGTGAGCCTATTGCCATATACCGGACACAATTCCATAATCCGTGCTACTACTGAGATTTTTTTAGAAACCCGATATACTTTGCCCGACCCGGGAATCCGAGACTTTTTGTGCGGCAGTCGCACTTGCGACCACTTAGCTGACGAGACAGAATTTTTTTTCTTTGTCTCATTTTTTCCAACAGAACATCTTACATATGAACCATTCATAGATCATTAGTCATTATCATCAACAGCCTATAAGTGCTGAGCAAATACCTCTTCTCACGCAGCGAAGGAGAGAGCATCAATCGAGGAATACAGCACCCGGTGAAATTGGGGCTAGCCGAAATAAAATATATCAAAATGTAACATACCTATGGAATATGGTGAACAACCGTCGCTCCGACTTCTGGATCACGTTTTCTACTTTACTCTGAAAACAGATAACAATACATATTAGTATGTAACAATATGTAGATAAAGATATACTGAGCGGATTGGCAATATATTAAAGAAGGGCCAAATTAAAGGTACCCTTAACCAAGGAACATGCATGAAAAGATTTAGAACTGTTAATGAAGCGAAAGAGGTATGCAAGAATCGAAGCAATTAGCGTTCCATAATCTGCCTACCTCCATGAGAGACAGGCATAATAATATGT